ACGGCGCGCCCGGCAGCGAGGCTTACCTAAATGGCGCGAGATGCCGAGAACTGCAATCGGACAGGAGGGCCAGCATGGACATTGACAAGGACGAGTATAGTCCTGGCTAGGACAGCATGGGCTATATTGAGGCGGGCGCTGGCCACCTGATCAGCGCCGACAGCATCCGCGCCGACCTGGGGCCTGTGAGAACCGTGCGTGATGCGGTCGACCCCGCTGCGACCATGCCGACAGCAGCGTGATCGACCGCAGCGCGACGCATGCCCCGCAGGCTCAGCAGTGCTCTTCACCGCCTCTCCTCCCGACAACCCACGGTTAGCAGGCGAACGCCACCCTCGTGCCGAGACGGGGCCCGCATCTCTGGGGCCCGTCAGTGGGTCGCACTTCTCCTGCTCTAGTTTTGCTACCTGCGGCCGCCGATCCGACCTGCATCTCGCCAGCTGTCCCTGCGCCCGCCCCTGACCTCTGCGCCTCTTTCTGCCCGAACAGCCGCGTTCACTGTTCCGACAGCAGCCGCCGCTGGATTCTCCATTCACGGCGCGCAGTATTCGACCACTCCTACGGCAATGCGGCAGCATCACTCAGCAGCGCCAACACACGACGACAGCGGCTACCTGAGGAGGCGCGAAGATAGTGGGTCCCCAGCAGTGGCTTTCGCATCCGCGCTCATCCGACGTGCCGCATGCACCTGCGGCGGCTACGACAGAACAGGCTATGCTATGTAGCGGGTCTACGGTTAGACTTGGGCCACCAAGCCCGCCCACCCGCGCGTGATATTCACCAGGCGCATTTCGAGAGCGCGACAGTGGATAGAGTTCTTTCGTGCGCCTCTTTGGAGGGGCTGCGGGCTGGAGCCTTGTCCTGAAAAGGGCCCTGCCCAACGTTCGCTCCCTTCTGGCTCGCCTCCACCTGCCAGCCTGGCCCTCCCGCCCCACCTATCACCTTGTAACCTGATCCTTCCCGTTCGTGTGGCAGCGGGATCGGTGGGCGGTCGTTCGCTATTGCTTGGGGGAAGGGGGCAGCGAAGGAACTCGCCGACGGCTGTCTCTTTGACTACAGCCGGGGCGGCCGCGGCGCGCAGCCTGTCGCGGCTTACCGCCCGGATTTATTTTGCGCACAGCTTCCTTCTGGCAATTGGCCTGCCAACGCCGCGTCTTGCTTCCAAGCGCTGCCGCGGCTACGTGCATGGCAATCCTGCTCTGCCGCGATTCTTCGACTCCTGCCAGCAGCAGCTGTCGTTCCTTGCGCTCGTACCTGTTTTGTTCAACCGCCTGCCACCCGTACCAGTGCCTGCGCGCTTACCTGCCTGCAGAAACGCGCCTCCCAGTTCGTGCGGGGGGCGGGGGGCGGGGGGGGGGAGCAGGAGGGGGGGCGGGGTATTCCGGTGCGGGGAGGGGGAGCGTACAAAACCAAGGCCACCGCCATTGAAGCGTGAACCTCCAAATCGTCCAAACACGCCAAGCCTCCGCCCGTTCCACGTTCGGGTACCGTGCGCCATGTTTCGGCGGGCCAGGGCCCCCGTCGTTGGACTGTGGGATGCCCTGGGGGGGGGCTTCCCACGGACATGTGGGAGAGGCCTCTACGCCGTCCCCCCTTGGCGAATGCGGCCTGCGCGCCGCGCGCCTGCACGGCCGCGACCTCAGGCGCCTATTTCTCGCTCCTCTTTGAACCGCGCGCAGCCACCTTCAGCCGCATGCAGCGTCAGTCAACAGGCCTGGGCCGGGGGAGATATGTCAGGGTGGGAACAGCCCCGAAGCCAACTGCGGCTGCCGCCGCAGGATGGCACAAACCTCCCCGTGCCCGGTGGGAGCCTCCACCTGGTCCCACAGCCCCTCCCCCGGACGTGGCCAAGGGTCCCCTTTGGTGGGAGTGGGGATCGTGGTGGAGGGGCTTCCTATGGGTTGGGGAGTGGCTCCAGCGAGTTTGGCCGCAGCCTCGCCGCAGCCAAGTGCTTCAGCTTTCACCCCAACAGCATGTCGCCTCGCGCTCGTGCTTGGATGTCGCTGCCGACACCTTTATTTGCCAGCCCACCCAAGCGTTTCAACCAGTGACACCCTTCCTCCTCCTCCTCCTCCTCCTCCTCCTCCTCCGCCTCCTCTTCCTCCTCCTCCTCCCAGCTTAGTCGCAGGGTCGCCCCTGCCGTTTCGTCGTTTCCTCTCCCATTTCCCTCCTGGGGTGGTGGGTGATCTACCCACCCCGCCCGCGAGTGTCCTCGGCACTTGTCGCTTCCTTTACATTCTATAGTATTATGGTCATCCATCATGTCCCACTTCCCCTGTGGAAGAGAAAGGAACAGGCGGATTAGCGCGATGATGATATTGATGTTGATGATGGTGAAGCTGGTGCTGCTGTTGCTGATGATGCTGCTGCTGATGCTGATGGTGGTGATGCTGATGCTGATGATGATTTTGGTGGTGAGGTTAATGACGATGATGCTGATGCTGATGCTGATGATGATGTTGACGATGATGCTGCTGATGCTGATGATGATACTGCCGCTGATGACGATGGTGGTGGTGATGATGACGATGATCATGCTGGTGGTGGTGGTTGTGGACGTGATGACGATGACGATGATGATGATGATGATGATGATGATGATGATGATGATGATGATGCTTATGATGATTGTTGTGATGATGATGATGATGCTGATGATGATGATGATGATGGCGATAATGCTGATGATGATGCTGATGATGAAGATGGTTGTGATGCTGGTGACGATGGTGATGACGGCAGTGAAGATGATGATGATGATGATGATGATGATGATGATGATGATGATGATGATGATTATGATGATGATGATGCTGACGAGGATGATGATGCTGATGATGATGCTGACGAGGATAATGATGATGATGATGATGCTGATGATGATGATGATGATGATGATGATGATGATGCTGATGCTGATGCTGATGCTCATGCTCATGCTGATGCTGATGATTGTGATGGTGTTGCTGATGCTGATGATGACGATGATGATGAGGATGAGGATGAGGATGAAGACCAGTGTAAACCCAATAATCACCAACAGTGTTGGAATCACTCCCCCAAGCTTTCTTGTCATAGGCCCGTACAACGGTTCATTTCCACAGGGACTTGCCTCGTTGGAAGACAACCGTTTGAAGACACTGAAAACATTGTTCTCGGGATTCCAACGCCACGGATAAACCGGACTGTTGCGTCTTGACGATCCTGAATCGGGCTAGAGCGCCATTCTTGGGACGTCAACGCCGCGAATCACCGTAACTGTGCCGCCCTCATAATCGTGAATCCTTTCGAAACGCCGTTCCTGGTACGTCGATGATGGGACTCGGGGAAACGCTTTGCAATTTTTTCAAAGGACCCGCCCTCAATCCGTGAAACTCTTGCAAAGTTTTAAAGCGACTGCGCGGACATTGGGCGAGAGCCATATTTTGAAAACGACCCGACCTCAATCCGTGAAGCTCTGGCAAAGTTTTAAATCGACTGTGCGCGGCCATTGGCCGAGAGCCACATTTGAAAACGACCCGCCCTCAGTCCGTGAAGCTCTTGCAATTTTGTATCAAGAATGTGCGCGGCGCTAAGGCGAGAGCCACAGTTTGAAAAGGAACCGCCCTCAATCCGTGAAACTTTTGCGAACGTTTTATACGAGTGTGCGCGGCTCTAAGGTGAGAGCCACATTTTGAAAACAACCCGCCCCCAATCCGTGAAGCTCTTGTAAACTTTAAAACGAATGTGCGCGGCGCTAACGCGAGAGCCACATGTTGAAAACGACCCGCCCTCAATCCGCGAAGCTCTTGCAAATGTTTCAAACGAACGTGCGCGGCGCTCAGGCGAGAGCCACATTTTGAAAACGACCCGACCTCAATCCGTGAAGCTCTGGCAAAGTTTTAAATCGACTGTGCGCGGCCATTGGCCGAGAGCTACATTTTGAAAACGACCCGCCCTCAATCCGTGAAATTCTTGTTTGCATCTGTTTCAAGCGAATGTGTGCAGCGCTAAGGTGAGAGTCAAATTCTGAAAACGACCCGCCCTCAATCCGTGAAGCTCTTGCAAATGTTTCAAACGAGTGTGCGCGGCGCTTGGGCAAGAGCCACATTTTGAAAACCACCCGCCCTCAATCCGTGAAGCTCTTGCCAATTTTTAAGCTTCAGGGTCATCAATGGTGAGGAGGTCTCAGGCGAAGCGCCTTCTCCGTCCTAAAGGCTGGTCTCGGGGTGCGTCAGGGAGAAGTTATCAATAAGGAAAGGAACTGAGGATGAGAATGATGATGATGACGGAGATGATGATGATGATGATGATGATGATGATGATGATGCTGATGATGATGATGATGATGATGATGGTGATGATGCTGATGATGATGATGACGCTGATGATGATGATCATCATTATGATGATGCTGATGATGATGCTGATGATGATGTTGATGATGATGATGATGATGATACTGCTGCTGATGATGATACTGATGCTGCTGATGATGCAGATGATTATAATGATAATGCTGAGTATGATGATTATGATGATGCTGATGCTTCTGATGATGATGATGAGTATGGTGGTGATGATGATGATGATGCTGATGATCATGATGATGCTGATGCTGATGATGCTGATGATGATGCTGCTGCTGATGATGATGCTGATGATGATGATGATGATGATGATTGATGATGATGATGATGATGATGATGATGATGATGATGATGATGATGATGATGATGATGGCGATGACGATGCTGATGGTGATGATGGTGTGGTGGTTGTGGTGGTGATGATGATGATGATGATGATGAGATGATGATGATGATGATGATGATGATGAGAGGGAGGAGGAGGAGGAGGAGGAGGAGGAGGAGGAGGAGGAGGAGGAGGAGGAGGAGGAGGAATAGGAGGAAAGGCATAGGAGGGAGGAGGAATAGGAGGAGGAGGGGGGGAGAGCAGGGATGGGGGTTAGCACTCGGAACGCGGGGGGCCCGGTCGTGGTCGGCCCCGGGGGCCCCCAGGAGATCGAGCAGGTGATGCGGCACTTCGACCACGACAAGAACGGGCAGGTTTCGCTCCTCCCTCGCCCTCCCCCTCTCCCTCCTCCCTCTCCCTCCTCCCTCCTCCTCCTTCCCCTCCTCCCCCTCCTCCTCCTCCTCCTCCTCCTCCTCCTCCTCCTCCTCCTCCGCTTCGGCCGCTCCGAGCCGTCCATCTCGCTGGGCTCGATCCGACTCGAGGTGCGGGGCTCCGGCGGTGCGGTGCTCCGACGCGGCACCTCTTCGCAGGAGAGCAGCGCCCACGCCGCGCCCCTGCCCTCGCCTGCCTCTGCTCGGGCCTCCCGGGAGACCCTCGCCGACGCTTTGGCTGGATCCGTCTCGGAGTCCTGGTCTGCACGCGCCCGGGAGAGGTCCGGGGAGCAGCGGTGTTGGCGCCTTCTCGGGTGTTGTCAGAAGTGCCCCTGGCCCATGGTGCCCCCAGGATGTGCAAGGAGGCCACCAAGGCCTCCCGAGCACCCCTCACGAGTCCCAGAGGGCCCCCGGGGCTCCAAAATGGAGCGAAAAGCTGGGGGCACCTTGGGCCGGGGGTATCTTTGGCAACTCCCGACCTTTTGGGCCCCCTTAGATTTATCCGTGCCCACTGCCTGGGGCATCGATCTCTGGGGGACTTCTCGGCAGGCGGTGGATGGGATACCGTCGGGCCCCGAGGGGGGCAGCTACAGTGGAGACCCATGCCAAGAAAACGCCCTGCTTGCCTCAAAGGTGCCCTAGGCTTCTTGGGTTTCGATGGCTCTGCTGTGGAAAGCGTGACGTTCGCACACCAAAAATCGATAGGCGTCCTTGGGTCTCAGGGTTGGGTTTCTTGTGGGAGGCTTCCTGTGGTCGAGCCCCTAAGGCGGCTACAATCGGTGCGGTTACGCCGGGGTGCGGTTTGCGAGTTGCAGTGATTCGGTTGCATTGAGTGACAGTGTCATCCGTTTCCCCGTTTCCTGGGGGCGGGAGGGGCAGATATGACCGGAGGCAAACCGCACCCTTCGCAAACCGCACCCGTCGTGGTCGAGCCCCTGCTGCATTTCCATGCCTCCTGCCTGCCGAGGCCACCGCAGATCGATCCTCTGGGCGGCGGTTGTGGGTAGCTCCCCGCGCCTCGCAGTTGCCGGCCTCGTGCCTGCAGGGCGCGTTTTTTTTGTTTGTTTGTTTGGTTTTGTGTTTATATGTATATTATTATCATCATTATCATTATTATTATTGTTATTATGATTATTATTGTTATTATTATTATTATTATTATATGTTGTTATATATTATTATTGTTATTATCATTATTATTAGTATTATTATTATTGTTATTATTATCATCATTATTATTATTATTCATTTTATTATATTTGTTTATGATCTTTGTTTTTTGTTTTTTTGTGTTGGCATATGTGTATATATAGATATATATATATATACATGTGTTGTTTGTTTATTGTTTTTTTTGTTTCTCCCTTCAGCCGGCCGTGGAGAGGACGCTTCCGATTAGCTCCGCTGGTGGCGCAAGCGGCAAGGCGAGGCGCACTCCCGACCCGCCAAGAAGCCCACGCAGGTGGGCTCTCTGGCCACGGCCACCGGCCGGGACTGCGCTCTTTTGTGCTCGGAGGCGGGGCGCTGGGTGCGGTCCGAGGCTGTGGTGTGGTGCCGTGTGGCGCACGTCTCCGCACTCGCGGCAGCCACCATCAGTGCTTATACCCGTTGATCGGCACGGCGGCCCCTCCTCCTCGTCCTCCTCGTCCTCCTCGTCCTCCTCGTCCTCCTCGTCCTCCTCGTCCTCCTCGTCCTCCTCGTCCTCCTCGTCCTCGTCCTCCTCGTCCTCGTCCTCTGGACGCCCGAGATGGGTACGGAAATAATGGGTAGAGTGCCCAACAGCAGGTCTTGATCATTTTGAACGGGATTCGCTGTCCACGCCGCCGCGGCCTGTGTCCATTCGAGACAGAAGGCCGCCCGCCCAACAGCGGCCGCTGTTGGTTTGGGACAACATTCGTTGTTCGGCATTGTACCCATTTTTTCCGTACCCATTTCGGGCGTCCAAAGTTGATCGCCGAGCGCGTTCCACTACGCGCAAAGTGCCTACTCGCAAGCGTCCGAAATATACAGGGCTTCCTTCCTATGTCACATATCGCAGAGCCCCAGCGGCGGATGCAGGCGATTTGCGAGTAGTCGATTTGCGAGTAGTGGAACGCGCCTGTCCAGTTGGAGTGCGCACTGTTCCCATGCTGTCGTGAACCAACACAGAGTGTTGGGACGCCCTTGTCGGGAGGCCGGAGACAAAACGAGGGCGCGGGCGCCGCCCCGCGGGAGGCTGCCAAGGCCTCCTCGCAGTCCGCAGGAGGCCCTTTGGGGAGGCAGGAGAAGCACAGCGCAGGGCGCGGCAGAGTAACGCCTGGCGCGGCCGGTCCGATCCTATCGGTGCCCGTCCCGTGCAGCCCAGGGCCGTGCCGATGCAGCCCGACCCGTTCCGATCCTGCCCGCCATCGAGTTGGCGTGCCTCCTCCTCCTCCTCCTCCTTTTCCGAGTCGATGCCAGCTGATCCCGCTCGCTCGTCCACCGCTCCCTCCGACGTGGAGTGCCCACTTGCAGAGGCTCGGGGGGATGCGGGACTCAGGAGGGGAAAAACATACAGACACAATGAATCGTCGATTCCCCAGAAAATACGGGAAAATATGTGCAGTGGGGGGGAAGACAGAAACCCAGAAAATATAGGAAAATAAGGGGAATCTGTTTATGTGTTCGGGGGGATGCGGGACGGCCGCCGGCAGGGCCTCTCTTCTCCCGCGCGCCCCCCGCCGGCCCCCTCCCCACGTCGCAGCTGCGAGGAGTGTCGGCTCCTCGCGCAAGGTTCCCTTTGCCAACGTGGCTCGCATGCTGTGAAAGATGCTTCACCGCCGTTCCACGAGCGCGCGTCTCTTGAAGTGATGCATTGTTCTGCCAGACCTTGAGTCTGAGTGGCACTTATGCGCGCAGAAGATGATCGAGCTGAAAAGGAACGCGCGCAAGACACAACATTGCCGCGCAGATGTTTCTGGCACCCCTCACGCACTTCATGGAGTGTCGTCAACTGTGCTGCACATTCACTTGAATTTTCTTTGAGGCTTCAACAGAAGTCCCGAGCATTTCCAGGGGCAACGTTAGGGAGGGATAGGCTCCGGGGGTGGGGGCGGGTATGCATCGGCCCCCAACCGCCCACTCATCGCCGCTAGTGACCTGATGTCCCGACCCACGCAGGACCATGTGCTTTTCGCTAGCGGGGGCCCATCGCCGCCCATCGCCGATGCATCGACGACTCCGGCCCGATGCTCCCCCCCCCTGGGCCCGGCTCCCCTGTAGTTGCGCCTGAAGCTCGC